GATTTCAAACCAATTTATTTATCGCCGTATAAATACATTTGAGTCAGTGTGCAGCAAGACTCATGAATAGACCCTATTCATTAAAAACCCATCCTACGCGCAAAAAGAAAAGTGATGTAAACAAAACAATTTTAACATTGGCTCTTATGGGGAATGTGGAGTTTATAAATTGCGTCCTGTTTAACGAGTTTTATCTTCCAGGTGCCCAGATTTGAATGGTTATAGCAATTACATAGCTCTCGTACGATGGCGGAGTATCCGACAATGCTTTCTCATGCAAATATCCCACACATGAGCAGTTGATATGGTGAAATCTGGATGGGAATCTCTGCTTAACCCAAATAAATAAGGTGAACTTCTCAAATTGAAATATATATCAATTTCTTACAGACTATCTCACACATATTTCAATCATTGACACGTTGACTACCGTTTCGCGAGGTGATAGACTGTGTATACAAATACCTTTGTTACGCAATAGACTGTATAATAAACATCATTTGTTGCACCATAAAAGCGTGCTGAATTCACTGACACATGTCAACTGAAGCGTTCGCTCCTGCGGGTCATAACTTAGCAAAATGAATACCTCCAAGTTTTATGAATTGACACTTTCCACATATACAATTACTATTGAGCAACACTTCACTACCAAATATGAAATGAACAATAAACTAGGAAATAAAATGAATAACGGCCCAAAAAAATTAGCAGGCGACCCAGTTTTGTGTCGCGACCCATAGGTTCGGAAACACTGTCATAGACTACTGAAAATTCCCCAATATTAAACCAATATTTAATCCCAGCAGCAAGTCCCTAATTCCATTATGATTCAACGAATTAACATTACTCATCATTTTTGTCTCGACAAAATCCTCTCAAATTGTGACTCATTATTTTTTCGACTTGTGATGTCGTCGATATCGCGTCGTTGATAGCGTGACATCTGCCACATGACATAATCCAAGTAACGCATATTTCACATCGCTGAAGCTAGTAGAGAAATTCAAATTTCAATGCGTTGCCGTTGAAAATTTTACCGTTTATCGGGAAATACGAATCGAAACAAGATATCATAATCGGACACATTGTCACACTTTTTTATGGCCGCGACATTTTGAAGCAGTAATGCCTTTCAATTTATTAGTCGACGCAACAGCATGTTAGATTGACACAGTTCAATTAATAAAGCAAGAATTTAATATGCCCATATCGGTCCTGTATTGAATATTTCGCGCAATTGCGTATCGTACTCTTTGGGATTTTAACACAGACCTTGGAATTTCCATTATTTTTCGACTTGTGATGTTAACGTGGCATCTGTCTGTCAAGGAGCGATGAAAGCCGATAAGACGACTTAATCATATGGCGTCACCCAGCCTCTTGTCCGTTTGGTTTGAGAGGCTCGTGACAGATTAAAAATGCTTTTTCAGACATTGTAAATCCACACATTATTTTGCTTCGCCGTTGAAAATTTTAGCGTTTATCGGGAAATACGAATCGAAACAAGATATCATAATCGGAAACATTGTCACACTTTTTTATGGCCGCGACATTTTGGAGCAGTAATGCCTTTCAATTTATTAGTCGACGCAACAGCATTTTAGATTGACACAGTTCAATTAATAAAGCAAGAATTTAATATGCCCATATCGGTCCTGTATTGAATATTTCGCGCAATTGCGAATTGTACTCTTTGGGATTTTAACACAGACCTTGGGATTGCCATTATTTTTCGACTTGTGATGTCGTCGACATCGTGTTCTTGATAACGTGGCATCTGTCACGTGACTAAATCCAAGAACCGCATATTTCACATCGCTAAGAAATTTCATATTTATCCCGGGGGAGAGGAAAACCGATACGACGATCATTTGACGTAACACAGTCTCTCGTCCGGATACCGGTCCATGTTGGGTATGGGATTAGTTAGCCAGTTATTTGTTTCATATACATAGGCTTGACTTCTATGTCTTTATTTTTTTAATTAATCTACTTTTCTTTTATTATTTCGTTTTATACTTCTGCGACAGGTTACAAGTTTTACAAATCTATGGTGCAAAAGTGAATTCTTAGTTCTAATCAAATAAATAACCGTTAACCCAATTTTAAGATATATATTCTGTACAGTATATATATGCTCTCATATGCCCGAATAAGCTGGACCATGTCAATGGAACATTCTTAGTAAATTATTTGGTAGTTCGTAACCGTTTTCACGCTATTTCGTTAAAGAATTATTTATACAAGCTGTCATTTGCATGAAGGGCGATACTATATTTATCCCAGTGGTTCTCAAACGTTTAGTGTTATGGAGCCCGTGAAGAAGTTGACAATTATTTACGGAGCCCACAATAAATTCATGGAAATAAAAACAAGAAACACATTGTTACTTACCGATTAAAGTTCTTGGGTAAATTAAAATTACTTTTTTGAATGACTCGGATGTATTTGCTGATTTGTATTCAAAAAGTATACTCCACAAACATATTAACGAGATAGCGATTAGAGACCGCCGACTTATCGATCTAGCGGCGTGTATCCTTCGCTCTGACTCAATAGCGACAACGCGTGTTCCACCACTAATTTATCAATAACTCGCTTAATATACGACATAATTCATCCAAAATCAATAGACTTCTGGTCCAGGATATGATGAATGCATATGCACAATTTGTGGCAGATTCAACCTCGCTTTCGTGAGATATCGCCTGTATCTAACAGACAAACGAACAGACAAATACCAATCAACATACTTACCGATCAAGATCGATAAGTAATAAAGTAATGTCAAAATGTGGCAACAATGCGGTAATTGAAATATGGCGTTGTCAAATTTCATTAATGTAGTTATTACTTCTTTGGGAAGTTACAAAATTAGCCAAGTCAATATTCAACAAGCAGACGAATAGCTAGAGAAACCCCTAAGTTTATCTTAGGGGGCCCTGGGGTCCATATGGGACATTTTGAGAACCTATGATCTAAGCAACGACATAGATTTTCAAATTTTGTTTTGTGAGACGTAAGTTTATGATATTATTCGTCGTATTGGGAGCTGAAATAAACATTTCCGTTGTGTGATATCACACTCTTGTGGGCGAGATGGGCTCGTGCTTAAATCGCTCGACTTAACGGTGTCGGCAACGCAGATTACACTTTTCTAATCACGTGACCTCGCAGGGTGTAGTAAATTGGGTAGGCAATTGATTACGGTCTTTTCTGATAATGGTATATCTTTACGTACCCTCAAATATCAATGGCTGCTTGCAGTGGTGTATCTAGGGTAGGAAAGTCATGCATCGTGCCATGGACGATGTTTGCATTGGGCGCAAAAAAAGGTGAGTAAATTTAATAGTATGCAATTCAAGAGTCCTGTTGCACACTAACACAAATATATTTCTAGAACGTTTCGTCTGACCATGATCAGACTTCTGATATTTCAAACAAATTTATTTATCGCTATATTTAAACTGCATGATTGCTCTTTTCTTCTCATTGTTGTAAACTGCTTGTCTGAGGAAGTCTGATTTTGGTCAGACGAAACGTTACAGAAATATATTTGTGTCAGTGTGCAGCAAGACTCTTGAATTGCATATTATGGTATTTTTATTCCTGCTACAGCATCCTTGCGTTACACTGATCCACTAGCGCAAAGGCATTGAGAAAGGATTGGGAGTTAGTCTCGTGATAATTTTAATAGTGTTTCAATCATTTCACGTAATTGCACTTCGTATTTGGTACTCCTGAAGTATGCGCACCAAGATGTCGCATAACCAGACCCCAACCTGAGTTCAGGTTGTGCGTCATCTTGGTACGCATACTCCAGGAGGTCCTGGTATTTTTACTAAAATAATGACGTACGAGTATCTCAATTTAACAACAGTCGTTAAAAATACCAGCCAACGATTGAGAGGGCGCATTTATAAACCTTGCGCCATTTCACGTAGATAAACAACTGCCTCCTTGCATAATGCCTTGCTCGGAGAGAATGGCGTGAATGAGCGTTGTATATGAGAAAAAACGAAAAAAAAATTTCAATACATTTTACTGATAGTGGGATGTTTGTACACAGCAAACGAATCGTATTTTCTCAAATAATTATAGACTTAACCCCGCGTATCAGCCCACCCGCGTTTCGCGCCATAATTACTAGCTTTGTGTGGGGTATTGTTATGTAACAATTACTTTCCAGATCATTGGTTTATTACATTACAGTTGCGAATTAACCTATTGATGACTCATAAATCTTTCGATAACGGAATTGTTTAAATTCGTTCGCAGGTTTTGAAATTCGATTTTCGATTTCGAAAGTACTTTTCCACCCTTTGAAAAACATCAGAATAGTAGAAAATATACTTTATGCAAGCATTTCATTTTACATCACTCCTTACCTCATTTTTACAACAATATGTATGATTACAAACAACAAAACAATCAAAATCACGCATCCACGGTAGGCTATCGGTACGCTACACAGCCACAACAGTAACGAAAACATGCTAATTGGTAATATTCGTGCTTAATGGGGGCTGAACGCCAAAGCGGGACTTTTGACTGGCCCGTCGAGACGCCGGGACAAGGCGTTAAAAAGCGGGAATGTCCCGCCCATAACGGGACGTATGGCAAGCTTATACATACTGCAAATATACCTTTATTGAATTATTTTTATCAGTTTTTAGGCATTTTACCGTTGTTGTGAGATTTTGTTGAAGATATCAAAACCGAAACAAAATATGCCTATCATAATTGTAGTTTTGCATTTTTTGACAAAAAACACTATTATGCAATTATTGGACTAGAGTTAGTGGTCCGCCATATGAGTAAATTTTCCTATCGGTTTCTCTCTCTCTCTCTCTCTTGGAGATAAATATGATGTTATACTACTTCCTTATTACTCATCGAATTCGCGTTAGCATTTTCTCAAAAATACTCTATTTCAAAATCGAGAGAATATGTATGAAGAACTTACTATAGTCTCTCTCGATCCCTCATACTCGACTGGTTTCATAGTGTAGTGGTTATCACGTCTGCTTTACACGCAGAAGGTCCTGGGTTCGAGCCCCAGTGAAACCAAATTATTACTTTAGTTTATTGAGTTCCACATTTGTCTATCTAAAATTCTCTACCCTATAGCCGTGTTGTCATCGCTTTGACTTGGTGTATTTTTGCTAGAGCCGTCATTGACTGGTAACCGGACATAGGCCGTGGTTCGCAGAGGTGTCACCAAAAGTTTTCAAGGGGGGATCGGGTTCTGAATTTTTTTTTTTGCCAAGTTAGATCGAAACTGCTAGCGGGCCCAGAGGCGTAGCCAGCATATTTTGCGCCCGGGGCAAAATATAAAATTGGCGCCCCGGCCCCCACGTTTAATCATGTTTTCTATTGCATTTAATTGTATATGTAAAAAAAAATTATATTTCGTCACGCTAATAACCGAATTGCGTAAGTCATTTTTAGCTGTTTTGAGAAAAACGTAAAAAAACTTCCTAATGATATTGCTATGCCATTGAGAGTCTTTAATTTGCCATAGTTCAACTTTTTGATCGTAGCCGGATTTAAGTTAATTTGTATGACGCAGTCATGTGACGTCATAATGGCACACTGTGATTTAGGCAAAAATGTGTCTATGGCTAGAGGACATACGCAATTTTGCAACTTGTCTATATGTACCAGTCCTGAAAACCAAACAATCCAAAATCCCCAAAATAGCTAATCTGTTTCAATTACATTATTTTTTATGTTTAAAAATATATATTTCATCAATATAACACGCTCTGCACATCACCGAAATAAGACTAAAGTTAAATATAAAGAATAAAACAGTAATGTACTCTTATATAAAAGTCAACCATGGTGAATTGGACTCAGACAGTAAATATCACAAGTGCACGCCTTCCTATACAGTAGTATAAATTGAAAATTATTAGCGCTAAGCTAGAATCTGAGATGCAAAAACTCGAAAATCCTTCGCCTAGGTTATTTTGCCTTTGTGACGTCACAATAGTCCTGCGTTAACAATGATAATTCATTATGACGGAACAATTGAACAAATTTGCATATCATACAAAATTTCTATTTTTATGGGTTTCGGAATTCTTAAAATAAAATCTGAGTTAACAGACAGGTGCGCAGCATTACATAAATACCTATTTTATGAAAAATTCAAAACCGCCCAAAATGACTTACGCAATTCGGTTATTAGCGTGACGATATGTGAATTCAAATTTATATGTAATTATATATTTTATTATTTATTCAAAAATATATGTATATGTAAATTCAAATTTTAATGGAACATTTTATTTAAAGAAGAAGCAAAGCTATACAAAATAGAGCATATGTCCCACTCAGTTACTGTCAAAGATGATCTACATAGTCTAAAATAAATTCATTTTTTCAATTTCACTGTCGTAAACTGGTTAACACGTCATCAAAATCTGTTTTTTTTCAATGTTTCTCTTTCAACACTTAGAAGTGCAAGATCACGGAGACGATCCTGTCCCGTTGATGCACGCGAATACGACAAAATAAGTTTCAATCTGCTGAAAGACAGTTCACAGCTTGCAATTGAAACTGATATTGTTAACAAAATTTGTGGAGAAATTCGCAGATTGAATAAAACGTCGTCTCCAAAAGACACAATAAAACCAAGAAGAGCCAAAGGAGTTTCTGGTCGATCTCCAATTTCGGTGAAAAGTTCGTGGCCATTGATGTCCGTGTGGTAGAGATTTGCAAAATCTGTGCAATCTCGACGATTTGTCGAAAACGGCATTGAGGTCTTTTAGCACAGTATAATATATTTTATGTAACTCTGCCGCAAAGTACGGTACTTTGACAACAAAATACAAAACCACGTATTACTCAAAACATGTATTAACATCATTCAACCAAATTCCGTTTCCATTTGTCTCCAGCACAGAACTAATATCAACTTACATCCGAGTGCGCAGGCAAGAACTTAACGATACAGAACCACATAAATAACCCCGTGTATTTTGTTACCTAACGTTACCAAATCAATTTTTGCTTTGTTTCCCGGCCAGATTTATTTGGCCATGTAATTACGATGGAAATCTGACCGTGCTATGTGCGTGATGACGTCGGCAGTCGTAAGTGGTCTGACCAAGTGTGCAGTTTGCCATGTACTAAGATTAGATGTCTGCCGCCGGTGCGATCTTGCTTGTGACCGTTTTTTACCTTTGTTGTAAAATTTTTGCCAGCCCCATTTTGGCGCCCCTGTACCTTGGCGCCCGGGGGCATATGTACCCCACTGCCCCCCCCCCCCCCTAAGCTACGCCTCTGAGCGGGCCCGATCGAACGCTGGACTACGCGTGTTTTTATTAGTCTTGGGGTCTAAAAAGCATTTCAAGCTACGGAAAATTGCTATCTATGATACAGAAAAATGATTTTATTTTTTTTCACATTTCAAAAGGGGGGGGGGGGGGAAGGCAAAACTACCCCCTGGCTACGCCACTGGTGGTTCGCCATATAATTAAGTTGTCTTATCGGCTTTCCCTCCCTCGGGAAAAATATGTAAATCCAAGCCCATATAATATTTAGTTTTCGCCCGAATAAGTGCGCAAGTACTCACATCGAGAAATTTATATTTGAAAAAATGATTTAAAACATCTGTACCCTGCTATATTTTGTCGAAGATCAGCTCAAATCAAGCTCAAAGCTTAAATCTTAGAGCTCACTTTGGGCTGGTTTGAATTACAGCATAATATTAGGGAGTATTTTCTACGCATTTTTAAAAGGTAATATCTAGTCATTGTTTGCTGATAAAGGTAAATTGTCGACCAATTAGGTTTGTTTGAACGAATGCCTATTGTGTTCGTCATAATCGACCGCCACACGAACCCTCGATGATTTCGACCGCAAATATTTGTAAGGAATGCTGTGATGGATCTAGTATGGCCGGAGATTTTTTTCCCCGAATGCTTAAAGTCGATTTTACAAGCGTGCAGATTATTTTACGTGTATATTTATTAGGTAAAGACAATTTTCAAAAGAATTTGCCCAAATTAGGGTCACGCGCACTCAATCAAAAGTAGCCTACAATAGACTCATCTCTGAGCGAGGTTGCGAACGGATGACCCGTGACTAGGGCTGGGCATTTTCGAATACCTGATGCTTTCAGAATCGAATCTCGAATACTTGGAAGTCAATAGAAGATAAGTATTTGCATGCGACTTTTTTCATTGAAATTGGTCCTATCAATAAATGAATTACTGGAAACATAGAATACATCACTTGGACAGATAACTGAGCGTGTGCACACAATAAATAACATTTATTTATCGATTATTCACTACAGAAAATATTCATATGTAAGAATTGCATTGAAAAAATACCTCCACCTCGACTATTTGTGGGAAGAAAAAACAAGATGGTGGCGATTCGAAATTTTGCTCTGAACCGATTCGAATCATTTACTATTCGAATATTCGCTTCGAAGTGCCCAGCCCTACCCGTGACCCGACTTGGCCGCGAATCGGTGTTTCGGGACTTCAACCAATACTGTTAAATCCTCTAGTAAGCAAGAAATGTTGTAGGTCATATTTCTAAAAATCTAAATTTTCGAGTAACTAAAACATTTTTAGTTTCAAATTTTACAGATATCTTGAATTTAAAAAAGAAGCAAAATACCAAAAAGAACAACATAATACCAAAACGATCCATATGCCCATTTCGTTTTAAATAAGTCATTAGGCATTATGTTTTTTTCCATAGTCTAACTCTAAAAAGTTGTATGATACAACTAAATCGATCGTGTGACTCTCCAAATTTTCTCAGCATAACTGTCTTCTAACGCGCGTGAAGGTATTCTCTCGTATTATGCAGAGTCCGATCATGCATATCAACTTCTCTCGTTTTGCCACTTATGTTCTCGTTCAAAAATTTTAGAAATGCCCTGCCTGCTCTTGCGTCGCCGACGTGTCTGAAATGCCGGTAAAATAATTGTTAGAAATAGGGTTGGATATTTGAATGGTCTGGAGAGGGCTATACGGTAGCAACATGCTAGGGGAATACTGGAGTAGGGTTTGGTAAACAGATATATGGTCACAATCGCTAATTGAATACCGTAGAGGGCTATTGCAGAGGGCCGTTACACTACAGCTGTACAGGTTACAATCGCAATTAAAATGACCTCGTTAGCAGAAGCCTATTGGACTGCTACAGAGAATATAGGTTAGGAAAATGGATGGATACCGGTATACAGACATATGGTTCCAATCGCTAGACTGCCATATTAACAAAAGGTTAGGAAAAGCGGTGGATATACGGCCAATCGCTACCGGTATTCGATAGATCTCATCCGTAGAGGACTATTGCTGTATTAGGCAGCCATACCGGTATAGCTGTATAGACAGTACTGCAGCAGGTTAGGAATATAGATGTATATATGGTTCGAATCGCTATTTGCGTGGCCTCCTTCAAGGAGGGCGATTGCTCTGCTCTATAAACACTTGGTTTTTGATACGAAAGAACCTCGGCACATTTCAACAGTTCTATCGTCCTTAGTGCTATTCTGACACCAATCACTGCTGGTATTCATCGAAGCGTGACCGGTCAGAATAAGTTGACCCTGAAAATTGAACTTTGATGCTGCCAGGATATGATTTGTTTTTACTCGGATTATGACGGGTTGAATTCGTATTTAAACGTCATAATACTATGGATGTGACGTGTGAAAGGTCACTTCAAGAAAAAGGTTGGTTATTAAGTTCCCATTTTTAAACATACATCTCAAAGGAAAAAAGCCCAAATAAATGACATGGTAGAATCAACAAAGCTGGATAACATTGAAATTATTCTGCCTGTTCAAGACCCCATGCAAGGGAGCAGTGAAACACAAAGCAGGTATGTTTCTGGGTTAGGATAGATATGATACTTTAGGCCAATGGTTAAAGTAAGCTTATGAAGCCTTAAGATTCATGGTATGTTTTGGGTTGAAATAGATATAAAACTTCAGGTAAATGGTTAGAGTAAGCACATAAAGTGGGATTCATAGTATGTTCTGGGTTAGGATAGACATGAAACTTTAGGAAAATGGTTAGATTGAGCATATGAAG